ACTAAAATGACACAATTTGTTAAATTAAAGGGCAAAATCGGGTAGATTGAAACAACAGAGACCAAATTGACACATCATATAAACTATAGGGGTCATTTACATAATTTATCCCAAAATAATTTATTAAGTGTATGTACAGAAAGTAAATGGTGTGTGGAAATAGAATATAGTGATTCTACTTACACCATTATTTTACCTCTTTACACATTCCATCTTATTACATTTCTAAAAACAAAATGTGATTCTCATGACATCTATTATATTACCATAACTAACCCTAAAGTATTTTCAAAACCCTTTTATCTTTTTACACCAATAGTTTTTGGAGGAAAATAAGGGAACAGAGACGCAACAAGGGGAAAGAGAAAGACGCAACAAGGGAAAAGAGAAAGACGCAGGGAAGATAGTGAATCGAGCCCATAGTGAAGTGCCTGTTCAGTCACATGGTGCTAAACAATTTACATTTCTCCGGTGTTATGTTGTCAGAAAAAATAGATTTATCTAGCGTTTTGTTATTATATATTTACAGAGCTACTTTCTTCCAAAGAATGATTTTTAAATTTGTGTCAGGCCTGTTTGGTAATACAATGCTGATGAATTTAAATTAACCTAGTCCCATGTTACTAGACAAACATTTTTTTCCCAACAATATATTGTCGTTCGATTGGATGATAACAAGAAATTAATTCGGGACTACTTGTGAAGTGCATGTTCGGTGATACATTGATATACAAATTAGATTACTCTAATTTCATGTTGCCAAACTATAATAGATTTGTCTAGCCACCTGTCGTTATATGTTAAAAGATTTATTTTTTCCTCCAAAGATCTATATATCAAGCACGCATCCACAAAATCATACATAAAAGTATCCATAAAAATATTTATAAAAACATCAAATGTACGAATATCCATAAAATCTGTCATTGTTTTCATCCATCAATGAAACATATTATCACAATTCATCTATATCAATAGTTTTGGTAGTTACTACATCAGAACTGACAAGCGTACGAAATTGATGAATACGTGTATTTTATGCTTTCTTCTATCTACTAGCACACAAGTGATGAAAATGAATCCAATTATTTGCTGTTGGAGGTACTGGATGACCAGGTTGTAGATAAACCTATAACAAAGACATCAATAATTAGAATTACAAAATAAGATATGGTAATGATCTAAGTAGGCTCGGTAATTTATACCTGCACGAAATGGTTTTCATTCCTAAATCCTATGCAGATATCTCTTTGATCAGGTGTTGCAATCGGTACTAGTCTAAGTGGTAGAACGTCAAGCAATGTTGCATAGATAAATGATACAAAATGACTCGGTAGTATGATACTATCAAATGGTCTATGTCGGGCATAGTAGTCTAATGATTAAATCCAGGGCCATATTCGAAGTAGGATAAGAGAGATGTAAGGTCATCAACCATTTTCTGTAAACCAAATAGTTGCATGTAGTGCACTCTACATTTGAATGTAACTCAAGTGTAAGTCTTAGTTTTTTGTCACTACCTCTCATATCTGATGTCTTTATAATAATGGCAAATCCAGCCTTCTTTCCAATATTAGAAGGCCATTTAATTAATGCTTGACGACTGCTAAAAATCTAAATATAATAATTACATTCACACATTAAATTATTAATAAAACTCAATACAAATTAAAAATAAGAAAAAATATTATTCATAAAAAAAAGAAAAACCTTAACATACCTCATCTGTAATGAATTTATAATTGAAGTCCATTAATAATACAGTACTTGCATTGTTGCAATGAGTAGAAACATAATCCTTCCAAGTACAAAAATAAAAAATATAAAACAATGAAACTAGAAATACACGGTAATAAGTAGCCGAACAAATTAAAAAAATTCGGCCTTGGGTTACCGGAAATGTATCTTTTATTCGACAGTTGGTTACCAGATATATATTTTTTGTTTGACAATGTGATGCCGAATTATTTTATTTTGTTCGATTTCGAAACACCGAACAAAAGTCGAATAACAGTCTAGAAAAGCGAAACAAAAACATACCAAACAAATATATTTCACTACCGTTTCTTCATCCATTACTTTCTTCTATAATCAAAATATTATGATTCTCACTTTTTGAAAAAAGATGTGTAAGAGAGAAGAAAAATTGAGAAAGGAATAGGAAGAGTAGGGATTGAAGACTAAGGGGTGTAAAGAGATAATAAAATATATTTAATTTTAGTATTTTGTCCTTAAAGGTAATTTCACACATAGGTAAAACTGGAAAAAAAAAAAAAATCTCATTTGAAGGATGTAAAGGGATAAAGTAGTGGTGTAAATAGAATCACTCAATAAAATAACTCTCAATCGCTTTGAGGAGAATGAATAGACTATTTTGCCCATTGATTTCAATTTAATTTCTTGAAAGGGTGTTATCTTTTTGTTTTTGTTTTTAATCAATCAATAAAAGAGTAATTATAAGTATGTGAAATATTAAATTATCAAGCAGACTACTAACTTAAAATGATTAAAAAGTTAACAAAATCTACCTAGCAACCAATTAAACTAAATTGATATGACGTGAAAATTTTAAGAATAACATTGACATAAACGAAACTTCAATAGTCGAATTGACTCGAAAGAGTAAACTACATGACTGTTGCTATAATTTTTTCCAAAGATTTTATTATTATTTTAAGCCTGAGTTGAGACAAGAGCAGTTTGATATATAGCAGGATAAATTCATCACATTATTTGAATACTAAAAAAAAAAAGAGAGAGGATAAATTCACATTAAGTTTGATACATAAGAAAACATAAGGAAGTGGATCCCCTCCGGCCCTTAATCCAAATCCTTCAATTCTTAATCCAAAATGGAGGGTACTGTTTGGGTCTGTGGGAGTTTATTATGGATCCTATTTTGATGATCTGAATTATTAATTTTATCAGCACTTTGTCCATTTCATTCATATAAAAAATTAGGTCAATCCAATAATCGTAACCTATTCAATTCTTTGCGTTTATTACTAAAAAAAGGAATTAATGGTATATTTTTAAAACCACAATTGTCATCTATTTATTTATTTTTTTTATGACAAACACGATGAATTAAATATGTTATGATTATCAGATCGACTTAATTTTTTTTTTTGTAAATAAAATAAACAAAGTATCTAACAAAATAAACGATTCAAATTATCAGAATAAAACCCATGATAAGTCCCCAAGAGCCCCAACAATGCCTTCCAGCCTAGATGAAGGACTGGAAGGGCTCCCGATCTAAAAGAGAGAGACTTCTATTCAAGTTTGACAAACTGGATAAAACAGTTTGATGAATATATTTGTGCCACATCAGTATTTGTTTTGTAAATTTAGGCCTTGTTTAGGAGTATGTTATTTTAATAATTTTTTAATATTTTGGCTAAAATATTAGGTATGTTATAATGGTTGAGAGAAAAAGGGAGAAACAGAAAACTATTTAAGTATTATGTGTCTATAACAATGTACAAGGGCTCCTATATATAGGAGAGTGATACAGCCAAATATGGAAGGAGAAATCAAAGCGTAATCTAATTCCTAAATTGAATCCCTAAATATACAATATACCCTAAACATATATTGTATCCATATATACATTAATAGCTCCCCTCAAACTCAATGTAAGTAAGCATCAACCAACTTGAGCTTGGAAACTAGGTCACTGAAATGTCTAAGAGGATGAGCTTTGGCGAAAATATCAACAAGTTGCAATAGGGAGAAGATGAACAGTGTCACGTATAGCAACACTACTACAAAAACAGATAAAGATCACACTTTTTTTGTGTGATGTTTGTTATTTAATCACACCTTTTAAGTTTTATTGAAGTGTGATCTTTGGGAGTGTAATTAAAAGGGGTCATTTTTAATCACACATTTTAAGTGTGATTAAAAATATTTAGATCATACATTTTAAGTGTGATTAATAATATTTAGATCACACATTTTAAGTGTGATAAAAAACTAATAAAATATGTGATAATAAACTTTAGATCACACCTTTTAAGTGTGATTAATAATATTTAGATCACATCTTTTAAGTGTGATTAAAAACTAATAAAACCTGTGATAATAAACTTTAGATCACATCTTTTAAGTGTGATTAATAACATTTAGATCACATATTTTAAGTGTGATTAATTACTAAAAAGATTCGACATATTTGAAAAATAATCAATATTATTTTTGTACACGCATTTCAAAAATGTAATGCACACTATATACTATACTTTGAATCATAACCACATATTCAATAGAATAACGTCATATATTTCATAAATAAAAGTTAAATATGTTCAAAAGTATATATAAAGGAATTAAATAAAAAATTTTAAACTGTGCTTACATAAATTAAAAAATAATAAAAAAAAAAACTTGAAAAACTAAGTCCTTGAATTCTTTGACCATATTTTGCATCTCTCCAAGAAATTTCTAACCTGAAAAATAAAAACACAAATTAATTCAGACACCACTAGAAGTATATGAATAAACTAACTATTTGTAGAGATTGTTCTAGTCTTACAAAAGATAAAGTCCAACTAATCACACCCCTTCAAATGTCTTAACATTAAATACCTCTACCATGACATGAAACATGTAAAAACAAAATGTCACTTTACCCATAGAAATTGCAAGTTCAACAGAAATTTTACTATAACCAACAACTTAATTTAAGAGACTCTATCCATCTCAAATATTTAATGTTCTACAAAAGAAATGTAATTGAATGTTGATTGTGCAAATACTTTGAGTGCATTTCAAATATCTGTGGTGTGTTGAATGTCCGTGTCCCATACAAAAACACTTAACAATTAAGCAACCCTAGCCTGCAGCCCTTCATAAATATGCCAAAATTTTGAAAATGCATTCCTTCACTAAAATTTATCATTCAATGAGCATGAGTTACCTGCACTGGTAAGGAGAATAAAAAGCAGTACAAGGTTCAGGTTTTCTTCCTGGAACAGAACTAAATTCCCCTGTTACAAGCAAATATCACCATTAGCCAATCATATTGACGAATCGAAAACTGAGAACACAGACCAAATAAGGGTATAGTTTCAAAACTATTATATTTTAAGGATGTTTTTTGGCTGACAAATGAGAAAATCTGACCTTCTCAGATAAGAATGTCCCTAATAAAGAACCTCCCAAAATAGCCAGCTGCATGAAACAATTTTTAATGGATTAGATTTATCATTGTAAACATCAGCTCGATGAAACCCAAAAAAAAGAATGATAATTAAGCAATCACATTACCATGTCTGACAAAACTTAAAATTTTGAACTATATATGTTCAATTATATTTAGACTGTCATTATTAAACCTTGCCAACATAGCCTTATCACAGGTCACTAAAGTCACCAAAATTTTAAAATTAAGAGAAAAACATGTATTTTATTTCTTTAGCTGAAAAACTTCTAATTTGCACATGTTGCCAAATCATTCTTTTATCTTCTTGACCCAAAAGCATGTTTCAAAACTAAAGTATTTCTGCTTCTTACACCAGAGATCTTACACTTCTTGGATAATCAATGAGCTATGCTACATGCCATGATAATAAATCCAAATTCAGGAAACAACACACACAAAGAAAGCACACATATAAATGTGTTTAAGCTATTATCATGATCAGTCAAAATTTAAGCATGTAAACCAATATATTATCATGATCAGTCAAAATTTAAGCATGTAAACCAATATATTATCATGATCAGTCAAAATATTCATATTGCATAAAATTCATGTAGAATGATTTTGTTCAAATGCTTACAAAAATAGCCATCTTAAATGATTTTTTTTTTAAATAGTAAAATAGGGGTTCTCCTTGGAGGCATCATCTTAAATGGATGTTCATAAGCATCATTCATGTCTTGTCTATTTAATATTAAAAGGGAAAAAAAGAAAAAAAAAAGCAATAGTTGAGAAATCAAAATTCATAGACTTTGACAAGCTAAGTTTAAGAAAGTGAATCATTCTAAACCCCTAGAAACAGAAATATATGCATAGAAACAATTTCAGTCAGTGTTGGTATTATTTGCGCCAATACATAAATCTCAATGATCATCAAGATGAACATCAACCAGCAACTAAACACAACTAGAGCTATCTTGGCTACTTAATCAGTAGACAATTAGGGATCCTAGTTATCTAAAAAAAAAAAAAAACCTAATCAATTGGCTCAAGGACAGAATATCAACATGCATCTACAGCAGCAGTACAACAGCAAACTTCGTTATAGTGTGGCAATCAAATAAACCATATAATTATATAGCTGCCAAACCCCTTATAAAACCACAATATGATATATTTTGATAAGATCTATTTCTAACACAAACAACAGTAGGCTTTAGTTTATATTCCAAATCATCATCTTTATTATCTTTACCAAGTCATTACTGAACCTTTTAGCAACAAAGAAAACTACAGACAAAGCATAAAGATTATTAGCCAGTGGATATTCCAAGGAAACTATAATTTTGCCCCCTCCCCCCCCCAAAAAAATATTAGGTGAATGGGGAGAGAGAGAGAGAGAAATAGGGACAGCTAAAACGAAACCGAATAGTTTGTATACTGTAGACGTCCCCGAACGTCCCGGGAGGGAATCCTGTTTTGTCCATTTGGGCTCACTACAGTTCGGACTCAATTGTCACGGTCCTGTATCTAATCTCGTAGAGTGCAATGCAAGACCGATGAATCATCAAAGAGTCCAAATCCGACAAATCGTTTTGAAAAATCGATTTTTAGAAATAAGTGCCAAACATGGACTACTTTTCCAGATACAGAGTCGCCACCTAAATATTTTATTTTGGGGAATTTAGGAAACCCTGACTCATTTGCCTAAGGCCACGTGTCCGTCATCACCAAAATTGCCTCGGCTCGGGAACTTGGGTACGATTGGGGAAGGTCACTTCGTGAGCACTCCCGCTCGCCCAATCAAAGATCGGCCTCTACTAACCATGATATCGAGTTTTGAAAACATTATGTGCTCTTATTCCGGTTATTAGCCTAGATTTACTATGTGATGCACACAGCATACAAGTATAGATTGGATCTCCTGAATTGGAACAGAACACCTCATGTTTGCTTTTGAAACGGTTTGCTACTCGTAAGTAGGTTAAAATGCGAATTTTCCACCCTCAGGTGGGCTTAGAAAACAAGATGATTTGCCACTCTCAAGTGGGCTTAAAACTCACAGTCAATGCATTTTCCAATTCAGATAATCCAACCTTCACCCACAGGCATTCAGGCAGGTATATCACATAAGTAGTTAGCCTCGTGGTAAACATGCTATCATGGCAGTCACTCACACGCATGCAAGGATGCTAAAGCATAAACACTTACCGAGTACTCGGAGCCAAAATAGAAACTAGTTAGTAATCAATGCATGATCCTAGTTCATGTTAAGATGGCTAATGCAACACATGCAAAATGCAACTAGAAATAGGCTCGGTTATCCTAAGAATGACATATGAGATGCAACAATCGATACATGTATTCAACTTGGAATTGAAATACAATGCAGTTAGCATGATGTGTCGAGCCCGGTGCATGCAATACAAATGAATGAATGCAAACATGCGAACATATAGATGCTAATTGAAACATGCCCTAAAACTAACCATCCTAAGCTGGTAAATAAAAGGGAGAAAGACGTGGGGTTGGAAGACATACATCACACACACGCACACTTATTATAACATTGCCCTCTCTCGGAGGGTCCGAATAAATAATACACAACTGAATGAATAACGAATTACAATTAATTATTACACAACCCTAATTAATTAACAAATTTAACTAAACAAGCAATAAAACTATCATGCAAGCTACATGAAATGGACTGTCTCAGCTCTGCCTTGGATGGCAATGAATGCATGCATGCTTGAATCGCTTTGTTGGCAAGTCCATCGCGATGCTCCGACTTGCCTTTGTTTGCAATTGACCTCAGAACACTGCATAAGGCTCTAGAATGCTGAAACTCTACCTTGGAAAGCTGTGGGAAGGCCGCCGACCAGCCTTTGGCCTTGGAGACCACCTGCCGACCACCTTTTGCGGTGAAGACCAAAAGAGGTGGTCGGCCTGCCAAAAAAGCTGGTCGGCCGACCAGTTTCTGCCTCCTGTTCTTGGTTTTCTGCAACACAAAGCAAGAGGGAGGCATAGCAAGGTATTTTCACATATGTATGCACGACCACTCTCCCTGTCATTGCACAAGCTCTAGGGAGTGTAGACGTCGATCCTCGTGCCACCAATCACGCATCTCGATGCATGATGGCCGAGGAGTCGAATTGCACGACTCAATATGAAATGAATGCACATATAAACACAACAAGGCCTAAACTCCATCATGGGCAATCCGGAGTGTCGGCGACCGGGAATTGAGACACGTTTCATCACTTTGAGTACGAAATATCCCTCGTTTCCTGTGTTTGGACTAACCCTACTCCAAACACAATGCAATGAGATGGCATACACAATGCGGCTAACATGCAACCCTAAATGCAATGCAACCTAATCATGATGGCATGAGAGGGATGATATGCACGCATGCAATTATCATACGCAATGCTATGAACCTAGAATGGCATACTCAATGCACATGAGCTATATGGCATACACAAAGACATAACCAAAGCATACACAATGCGACGGTCAAACGTGCAACAACATGAGCTAAATGGCATACACAATGCAAGATGGACTTAAACCAATATGAGTGGACCTTAGCCACACTCAAATCAGTGGCCATATGATGAAAATGAGACAACCGAAATACATGCAAACATGCACGAATGCAAAGAACTGATCCTAACACACAACATGCAACTCTAACAAAGCATGGCAAAGGATGAAATATGGCATAGAATGGCACATGATCCAGCTCTGAAATATGATGCACAATGGTCTCGAATCATGCAAACACTTCACCCAATGCATGCTAGATGCCGAATACCGAAACTAGTGAAGTGCGTTACACTAGAGGTACACAAAGCAATGCACAAATGGAAAAACCAACCCCAAACAGACCCTAGGCATGTCCAAGATATTGGGAAATTGGTCTAAAACGAAGGCTCGGAATGCATTCAAATGAAGCCCATGCAATGCTTGGTAAATGAGGCATACAAGCCCGACTCTCTAATGCACTTAAAGAGTGAAAATCATGAGAATATGGCATGCATATAGGCTTTGAAATATGATGTGCAATGGCCCCAAAACATGAAAACACCTCAGTATATGCATGCGATGGACCTCAAAACTCAAAGTTAAGCATGGATATTGAACTACAGGTATGCAAAACAAGCATCATTCGACCATGAGACCCAAAAAAAAAAGCTAAGGCAGTCCAAAACGTGCATAAAATCAGTTTAAGGTAAGGCCAAAATATGCTAGGAAAGGCGGCCAAAACATCATGCAAAACAAGCTAGTGAACCATGATTTGCACTACAACTATATGAAGCACATGAGAGGTCACCAAACCAACCAAAAACAGAAGTATGCCATGCCAAAATATGACCAAAAACCTACTGAAACTCAGTCAATGCATGCAAGAATGATATGTCCCTTTGAAAGGCCAATAAGAGGGTTATTCTACACATGTATAATGGACATACAAAATGGCAAAACCACCTCTGGACAGAGGTTATGAGGGCCCTAAAACTCACTAAAAAAGGCTTAAAATGAGGCTAGATAGCATGCAAATGAAGGCTCTTTTGAAAGGCCATGAAGAGGATTACTCTACGCATGCAAGATAGACACCTAACATGGAAAAAAAAACTCTGGACAGAGTTCATGCAAGTCATAAAACTTACAAATAATGGCCTGAAACATGCTCAAGAAGTGTGCAAATATGGGCTCCTTTGTAAGGCCAATAATGCTAGAAAACAAGACAAGGGGTGAGAGGGTCACCCCTCTCTGATTTTATACTCAAAAACATATAATAATCACTGAAAATCCACTGGATTTCAGTGGTCAAAAGGGCCAACAAAGCTCAACACAAAGACCCTAATGCATGGCTCAAAACAAAGAGAAATGAAGCATGCAAGGGGGTAGATGACCCCCAACAGAAAAGAGGTCTTAAACAAACATGTTAAGAAGCTTAGAAAAAGACTTTTTTCAGTTTATGAGAAAGCCCAAATATACTTGCAAACTAGGCTAAGATATGAAGCAAAACAATGCTAAAAATGAGGAAAATGAGAGTTACCCTTGTAGTCAAAAGAGCCAGCAGCTTCTGGACCAAAATAGTAAGCCTTCAACCTCTGAAAACCAGCTCCAAGGTGCTTAGAGTGATGGTGGAGGTGTTAGGATAGGAGGTGTAGTGCAATGGTGCAAGAACAATGGAGCTTTGGAGCTTGGATGTAGAGAGATAGAGAGAGGTGTATGTATATGCCTTAGCCAAAATTTTTCAACCCTTGCAAGTGGAGAGGAGGGTCTCTCTTATAGAAGAAGAGGTCCAAGGCTTCTCTTAAAAGCTTGGAGCAAAGGGGCCAAGCTTTTTAAGGAAGCTAAACCAAAAGGGTCAAGCTTCTTGAGGAAGCTAGACCAAAGGGGTCAAGCTTCCTCAAGAAGCTAAGAAAAGGTCAAGCTTCTCTAAGAAGCTTAGAGCAAAGGATCCAACTTCTTTAAGAAACCAAAACAAGAGGGTCAATCCTCCATATGGAGGATGGAGCAAATGCCTCCCAGCTGGCACAGCTGGATAGCACTCAGTGAGACAAAAAAGGAGAAAGCTGGCTGACCAGTTCAGGTGGTCGGCCGACCCCTTGCCCTAGTCAGCCGACCAGGTTCAAAAGGGTCAATCATCAAAAGCTGGTCAACAGCCCTGATTGGTGGTCTCCCAGGTAAAAGCAACTCAGTGGTGGTATGGGAGACCAGAAAATGTGGCCCAAAAACCTAGAAAATCAGCTTCCCGACAAGAAAATCAAAAAACCGACAAGCGGGGAGAAAAGTGGTCTCCAAGGAGAAAAGGTGGTCTCCCACCCTTGTACCACCTCCCAAACAATGAAACTAGGGTCTATGCCAAAAATGAACCAAGACGGATGCAAAACGAGGGTTCGGGGGCCAAAACGCGCAACCGGGTGCCCTGAAAACTGACTGTTAAGCATCAAAGGTGGCGTGTGACCACAAAGGTGGTCTCCTGGGCCACAGTGTCCCTCTAAAGAGAGGAAAGAAGGTGTGCTCCAAAAACCGGAGCAAACGGAGGTAATTAAGCGATCTCGAACCGAGCACACAACCGACGGCTCAGAAAATCGAAAACTGGTCTCCAAACAGGAACAGTCGTCTACGACCACAAAAAGTAGCCTACGGCCACTGAGAGATGGTCTACGAGACCTCTCCCTCCCTTCGAAAAGAGAAAATAGAATCTGGTTCGCAAACCGAGGCGAAGCACAAAAAGTCTCGAAGTCTGGAGGCAAGGCTCTCAGCTGAGACTTCGTGACCTCAGGACGAGCACAACATGCGTGATCATCGAGCGCTCAATCGATGACATCTGAGTCTTAAGGTCGGTCAAAAATGGGGTGTCTACATATACCCGTCCTAATGCCTCGGCATTTACTTTATGATTTTTTAATTCTTACTTGATGGACACTATATTATGCCAATGAGTTAAGCTTAGTGCATCAACTCTACATATTTTTATGAGAGGAATGAAGATGAAAAGGCAGCATCTTACAATACAAGTGTGTTTTCTTGATGGATGAATATCAATGGAGTGTACAATCCCAGAAGTAGTTCCATGAGCCCTGCAACATTATTAATATGAAGAATCACATCACATCACAACAAAAACAAACTGCTTCTACCCAGATGAACGGAGTTGAACCCAACCGTCAAAATATGCAGTTAAGATAATGCAAACTGAACAAAAATAAACACTGAATTTAGAAGCATAATAGAAACTCATCTAAGAAAATGACTAATACCACTTAAGAATATATTAAGCTTCAAGAAATTCCTACATTGGTGTGTTCAAATTATCAACAAATTATGAACTGCTCCAGTTTTCAAAATAATGGATCTATTGTCATGTGCAAATGGCTTAATTGAAAGGTCTATCAAGAAGCTAAAGAAGTCATTAGAACCTAGAATAATTTGAGTAAAATGTAGATGCAATGTCAATAACATCAAAACTGAAAGTCAAAAAGTGATGAAGCAAGCTTTATATATGTAAATCTAAATATGGTCAAGCACTCCTCCAGTTTGCAAAAATATTATCCAGTTCAAAAAATTTCACAATAAAATCTTCACCATTACTATACAGATAAATAAGTAATACTAATGAAGCAAAAACCTACATATGTTAATTTGTATGCGAAATAAGCACAAGTACTTATAACCTAAATTCCATGGTTCTCTCTCTTCATCTAAGGTAGGCAAGTACATTGTGCACAATATTCTCCAAAAGATTAGTTAAGTTGAAAAATCAAAATAGATCCACCTAGTATAATTAAGTGCTTCCCACAATATGGTGGTAAGACTAATGAAGCAAAAACCTACATATGTTAATTTGTATGCGAAATAAGCAAAAGTACTTATAACCTAAATTCCATGGTTCTCTCTCTTCATCTAAGGTAGGCAAGTACATTGTGCACAATATTCTCCAAAAGATTAGTTAAGTTGAAAAATCAAAATAGATCCACCTAGTATAATTAAGTGCTTCTCACAATATGGTGACAAGAAAGTGCAGCCACCTTTTGCATACATACTTGAAATAAGATCCTTTTTGCCACCTTCAGCTGCCAAACGATACCATTGAATTGAACATCCCAAAAGTTCTATAGCACTATCAGAGCAAGGTTGAATCCTTAAATATGAACCCAAAGCTTCAGAGCCATCTAATTCATATGAGTGAGCCAAGTTGACAAAGTACACAAAACTGAGAACCAAAGATATGGCCACAATACTTATGAAAATCAGTTACTGTTTCCACAGTTAGTGATGATTTTGATGGAAATCAAAAAAGAAAAATCATACATAAACTGATAAAAACAAATGATTCAAAGTAAAAAATGGACAGGACTAATACAATAGAAAGGGCCAGTTCCAGTGCACGAGACCTCTTGCCAAAAACATATACCAAAAGCAGGGACAATTGTTAGTTACCTAATAAATATTCTTGTAAGTTGCCATTAATCATATATTCATATATGAGTGCTGTGTTTGAGCCTTCATCACCATACCCAATTAGGGCAGCCAAATTTCTATGATGGACAGTTGTTAAGAGCTCAGCCTGCAATCCAAAAATGAATACCAACTGGTATGACAATTGAAAGTAATTTTTAGAATGTGTATGAAAGAAAGGGTACTAAAATATTGAAGTGTCAAGAAGTTTGCCTCAGCCCAGAACTGCTCTGATCCCTAACTTGATGATTGAGAGAGCATTTTGACACAACTTCAGTGCCATCTTTCAAGTAGCGAAGATAAACTGTTCTGAATCCTTCTTTCTCGATTACCCTTTCTAAATTATTTGTAATACTCACAACCTCAGAGTATGAGAATCTTCAATTTTTCAACTTCAATGTCTTGCCTCCCACATTGCCTTTTAGGAGTCGTTCATGGGCAAAGATCAAATTATACAAGTAAGACTTTAGGTGATTGAGAAAATAATTTCTTGAATGTAAACCAAATACCAAAATGAAGGAATATATAGAAAAACTATTACCTTTTATGTTTTCTCCTTGAAAAATCTAGAAATTCCCTAGATGTTGATTTGTGATTATGTATCAATTTTAAGTAGTAAACAACAATCCCAATCAAACAATCAAGACAAATCGGCACAACGATTTTATGTGGAAAAACCACAATTGGACACCTCCAATTGTGATAAAAAAAACCACGGGCAACAGCCACAAAATAATCCACTAAGAACATATAAATGAATTACACAGGTATACTCTCAATTACCTAGAGAATCCACGCCTGAATTGAACCAACCTCTATGTGTCTCTTCCAATCCCGTCTTCTCCTCGGAATTGTCTTGACGATGAGCCACTCCGGAATCCACCAAAGCTTCAGGCTCGAATTCTTCAGAATCCACCGAAGAACAACTCTCTCTTCTGTGTAGAATAAACAAACAAACCTTTGATGTATGCTTCTTAAACCATGAGTTGAATACTCAATGAAAACATCAAAGAAAACTAGCAAAATATTCCCAGATATAAACCTTAGAACCCAAAAAGAAGATCTTGAGGAATTAGTAAAGTTTTGGGAGAAAACCAACTACTTATAGAAATCCAAAGTAATCCTAGTTTTGGAAGAAAACCAATTCCTTATAGAAATCCAGATTTTGAAGCTCGCTCGAGCGAGAACCTTAACTCGCGTGATTTCCACTAGTGCCTTGGCTCGAGCGATGAATCCTTGGCTCGAGCGAGCAATCAACTCTTTCAGGTTTTTGTGTGGACACAGTCCTTCGCTCAAGCGAGAACTCCTTGGCTCGAGCGAGAAAGCCTTCGCTCGAGCGATCACTCCTTGGATCGAGCGAGCAAGGGCGGACATGTAATTTTAAATACAATTTTGCATTTTGCTTCGGCCCGCGAGCTGACCAGGCAGCTCAACCCCCATCATAATCAGCGAAGTGGCAATCTTGAAAGCATTAACACCACAAACTTCTCTGCAAGGCACAATTCGGGTTGGATTCGCATCTAAAACTCATATCCTCACTGAAATACAAGAGCGAATAAAATTACAACTGAAAGAAGTTTTGTCAAACGGGATTGCCAAGAATAAAAATCTAATACTCCTCTTTAAGCTCCACAAGATAGCTATTGCACTTAAAAATACAATGGAGGAAACCAAAGATGCAACTATGGTAGTGCTCCAATTTTTCTTCTTCTTTGTAGCCTGTTCACAGGAGTCCGACTGACAAATATTTGGATTGCCATTTGTACTACAACAAAACATTTTCTAAGAATTATAGAATATTCATTCCAACATTCTTAATGAAACAAAAATGAGAACGAGTCACATATTAATAACAAGGAGGACTTCTCCATCAAAGCCTTGGGAACAGAACCTGTGAGATTGTTGCTTGTTAAATTCCTGAAAAATGCAAAACAAACAATGTTACATATTTTCTCTGTTTCAAGATTTAAACTTAGAAAAAAAAATTTCCACAACTCACAAAATCTCCAAAGCAGGCAGTTCTGATAGAAGCTGAGGCACAGGTCCAGTTACGCTATTGTATGATAAATCCCTACAAACAAACAAGCTACACTGGTTCAAACTTAATTTTCACCAAAGTTTTCTCCTCTTTAATTCTGAAAATTCCTAAACATATATATAAACCCCATAAAAATTTTAAAATAAAAAAGTCTCTGAAATTTCATTATGTTTAAAAGATGAAAATCATAAAATAGTTGGACAGAAATTGATGCACAGTTCACAAACTCAACATCCAAGTAGTGGAATTAAAATAAGACAAGTCACATTTATATCTTGAAAAACTTATCATTTATGTTGAATGGGTTGCACTGAATCATTTAATAAACTTTGAGACAAAACTCACCAAGCCACAAACCATTCTCTATAGTGCGTCCAAGTCAAAGCCAATTTGAGAAAGATCACCATGAACATTAGTAACCTGTTCCACAATTCAGAACTTCTTTTTATGCTATTATTGAATCATTTTTAAATCATAATCAGATTCATTGATTTGCCTCCTTATAATTCATGAAAAACTGACCCACATTATTTCCCCCAGTCCTATTCAGTCAAAAGTTGCATTTCAAATACTCTATTCTATGATATGCAACTTACCCTAAGGAAAATAACCCATTTCTGAATGTACCTCATTCTTAATTAACTTTGATATTTCCACTTGCTCATCAGGTTTTCCATCCAAGTTCTCAATTTGTTATGTCAAGTGCCTCTTTGTTGCCCAATCCAAATAAATAAATAAAAATAAAAATTCCACTCACATCTGCCTAAACCACCCATGGAGGGGAGACGAGAGCGGATGGAGACGGAATCATCATCGGCGAAGGCTCCATGGAACACAAGAATCGGTGGTTGCTCTTCTCCAGCGTTGCCGCGATCTGTGCCAGTTGAGGTGGATCGAAGCACCCTACGCTTCTGAGGCAGACCAACACCACCGTCTCACCCTACTCTTCCCCAATTAGGCATCGCCAACGAGGTTAGGGTAGTGGGACACAATGGTGAGGGTTTGGAGAGTGGTAGAGGAGCTCAAGGTTAGGGTTTTGATGAAGGCTCAAGTTTAGACGAAAATCTGAGAGACTGATACAGAGATCTGTGAGGCTGAGACGGTTTGGAGAGAGAGAGAGAGAGAGTGTGTGTGACATAGTGTATAGAAAGAGGGCTATGCCCCATTCGAAGAGTATTTTATTGTAGCATATTTGGCGCCAGAGTAATTCATTTTGGCGCCCATTTTTATTTTGATCATACTATTTATGATAGAAATTGTGTCTCGTGAAAAGTAAAATATTTTTAACGACTAGCATATGTGTGTCGTGAAAAGTGTATTTTTTAACGGCAGATTTTTTATGCGTCATAAAAAAGTGTAATATTTTTAACGGATGATTTTTTGTGCGCCGTGATATGTTTAATATTTTTAACAGCTAGTGTACACGTGTCGTCTATAATTGATGTATTAACGACATGCCATATGCACGTCATAGAAACTTTTATTATTTATGGCTAACATTGCAAGTCGTAAAAAAATTATCATTATTAGTATTCACAGCCTACGCAATAGACACGCCGTGGTTGGGAAATATTTTACGACATGCAAAAAAAAGCAAGTCGTAAAAGTGAGAAACCACGGCTTGCATTTACTGTATGTCGTTAATGTAGAGTCGTAAAAACTCAGTTTTGTTGTAGTGTTTAGAAATATTGAATAATTTCTTAAGCCAATTCTTTCGTTTCCAAGGTAATCTGACAACATCACCATTTCATCTCTTAATAGAAACTGCCAACCACACTGCACAAATTTACTGTCAAATTATTTCCATCAACCGTATGCCATCTAAGATCATATCTGTGTATTTCTAAGAGAAATTAGCAAAAACCCTAACAAGCTTTGAGTTCCCAAGATCGAATTTCTAATCATACAAACCCCAAGCAAGAACAAGAAATCAATAGATACATACAGATTTCAATAGACTAGCATGAAATTGATCAAGAAACATAACAAAGTGAAATCAAATCAAACTCAATCTAATGGGATCTTCTAACCTAAGAATGAATTTATTCCTGTAAAATCTAGAGAGAGAGAGAACAAAAAAAAAAAAATACACAATTGTTGACAATGGTTTCATCAATGACAAATTAGTAAACAAATAGCCCAAGGACTACACGGTTAACCAGAAAACCTTTAGGACCATATGGATCATAAGATCAAAATATAGGATTTATTGGTCAATTCCCCTTTTTTAAATCCTCATTTGGATGAAATATATTAACAAAATATATTTTTTAAATATAATTCAAAATTATTTTCAAAACTTCTTTTTTGTTTTTTTTTTAAAAATTTATTGTTATTATTCAATCAATTAATCACTTTTTTTCCCATCTCTCCTCTCACATCTATATAATAAAGCATGATGTTTTTTGAATCTTGAACATATTTTTGTCCTACTAGGACATTTGGATGGCTCAGATCTGTTCAAATTATAAAACAATGGTTGAGATATATTTTTCAAAAAATATCCTATATATACATTTTCTACTTTCCCGCTTCTCTTTCTTACTTTTTTCTTTTCTCACCCATCATTTCATGATCCCACATTCCTCCATCTTTTCTTTTTCAACTCCGATTCGTAGCTCGAATTCGGAGGCTCGAATTCGGAGAAGAAGAAGAAGAAGAGAAAAAGAAGAAGGAGGAAGGAGGAGGAAGAAGGAGAACTGAAAGGGAGGGGGCCATCAAAATCAGGCTGGAGGAGACGAGGCCGGAGGCGGGGCTGCACGGGGCTGCGACGAGCTGCGACGGGGCTGCGACGATCGGAGCTGCTGCTGCGACGATCGAAGCTGCTGCAACGATCGGAGATACTGCGACGATTGGTGGCGGCGGAGGCACATGAGGGGCCCTTCTCTCCTCTCCTCTCTCTTTCTCCCTTTCTCCTCCTCTTCCCCTCTGTTCTTCTCCTGTGTTCAACGAAGAAGAAGAAGAAAAGAAAGAAAGAAAAGGAAGAGAAAGAAAAAAAAAAAAAAATCGCAAAACGACGTCGTTTTGCAATTCGAGCCAAAATCGGGCCACTTTTTTCGAGCTACCAGTCATTTTCCTAAAAAAATATATAATGGGACTTAATTAAAAAGGAACATTAGTGTATATATAATCACACTTTTAATTAAAATGTGTGATTAAAAAATATATATATAATCACACTTAATTGAAAAGTGACATAAAAAATAAATATTATCACACTCAATCAAATTAAGTGTGATTAAAATATCAATCTAATTTTATTTATCACACTTCCAATAAAAGTGAGATCTTTTTTTTTTTGTCAAAGTGTGATCTTTAACTATTTTTGTAGTAGTGCATGCTGTCAAATGAAATGACAATCAATCTCAATATGTTTGGTGCGATCATGAAAGACGTCATTGTGAGCAATCTGAATGGCACTCTGATTGTCACAATAGAGAGAGGTGGCACTACGGAAAGAAACACCCACGTCAGCAAGGAGCCAGCGAAGCCACAGAAGTTCTTGAGTAATGTTAGTAAGAGCGCGGTATTCAGCTTCAGTACTAGAGCGAGTAGTGAGGGACTGTTTCTTACTATTCCAAGTAAGAAGAAAATACCCTAAGAAGAAACAGAAACTTGTGGTGGAGCGTCGATCAGTTAGATCCCTAGCCCAATCAACATAAAAAAAGGCACGAAGCTCAAGAGAAGAGTGAGCAGAGTAGTGAAGTCCATGGAATAGAGTGCCTTTGAGGTAGCGAAGTATGTGGAGTAGAGCAGTATAATGGAGGGTGCGGGGAGTCGACATATACTGACTAACAAGATGGACAGCATATGCAATGTCATGATGAGTCATAGTGAGATAGACAAGACTACCTACCAGTTGGCGATAAAGAGTAGCATAAGAGAGAAGATCCCTGTCTAGAGAAGTGAGACAAGTATGAGAATCAACTGGAGTAAAGGTAGTCTTGCAATCTATAAGACTAGCACGTGCCAAAAGATCGGATGCATATTTGGCTTGTAACAAATAGTAACCAGGGGAATCATGAGAGATTTCAAGCCCTAAGAAATAATTGAGAGTACCAAGGTCTTTCATCTCAAATTGACGACTGAGAAATTGTTTGAGGCTAAGAATACCAACCACATCATCACCGGTGATAATCATATCATCTACCTAAAGAAGAAAAAGAGTGGTGCCATGAATAATGGTATGAACAAATAGAACAGAATCATATGGGCTGGAGGTGAAGCCGAAGTCATGAATGGCGGAACTGAACTTAGCAAACCAAGTTTGTGGGGCTTACTTGAGACCATAGAGAGCAAGTTGTAGTTTGCAAACCTTATGAGCTAGATAAGCAGACCCAGTAGGAGGTTACATGTAGACCTCCTCAAGAAGATCACCATTAAGGAAGGAAATTTTGACATCCATCTGAAAAAGATCCTAATGGCGAGCAGTAGCAACAACAATCAAGCTACGAACAGAGGTAAGCTGAGCAACACGAGTGAATGTCTTCTCATAATCAATGTCATATTCCTAGGTGAAGCCCTTTGCAACAAGACGAGCTTTTTAGTGCTCAATAAAGCCATCAGAATGGATTTTGATTTTGTATACCCATTTGCAGCCAATCGTAGTCTTTCTAGGAAGAAGACCAACCACATCCCAAGTATGAGTTTTGGCTAAAGCCATCTTGTTTATCAGTCATAGCTTCCTGCCAAAGAGGATTAGTATAAGCTTCACGATAGGAGGTAGGTTCATAAGTAGAAAAGACAGTAGACCCGATAATATAATCATGAAGATGAATGGGTGGTTGAGTTATGAGGACGACTTGTGGGAAGATTTGTAGGGGGGAAGGTCTGGTTAGGAGACAGGAGATGAGCTAGAAGGCACAATAGGAGGTGGACCATCAGGGAGAGCAGCCTGGATGGGATACAAGGTCCGCAAAGGCGTCTCTACAAATGAGAAACCTACATCAAATTCATTAGAGAAGAGATCTATGGAAAGATTAGTAAATATGATGGAAGTAGAGGGAGAGGGTAAGTGAAACGAGGATAGAGAGGAAAACATTTTATGCTCCCAAAAAATCGCATGACGGGATACACGAAGACATTTAGAGATAGGATCCCAACAACGATAGTCTTTATGTTCAATTTTGTACCTTAGAAAGCAACAAAGATGGGAACGAGGTTCAAGTTTGGTGTGTTCATGAGATTGAAGCAGGACAAAACATGCAGTCCCAAAAACCCTAAGATTTGTGTATGGAGGGTGAGTGCCATGTAGACGTTCAAAGGGAGTTTGATTATTGATGATAGGGGTAGGAACACAATTGATAGTATACATAGAAGTAAGTGCAGCTTCCCCCCAAAAGTTCTCAGGACAGGAAGAAGAGAGAATGAGAGCTTGAGTAGTGTCGAGAATATGCCTATGGTTCCTTTCAGCACGTCCATTTTGTTGGGTCATGCCAGTACAAGAATGATGAGGCTGAGTACCATGACTCTGAAGAAAAGAAAGGAAATCCATATCCCGATACTCTATAGCATTGTCAGAGCAAAAGTGTTTAATGTTCTTTGAAAATTGGGTTTGGACCATTTTTGCAAAATTATAATAAAGTCGTTTAAGTTCAGACTGATTTTTCATGAGAAATAGCCAAGTAAACCGTGAAAAATTATCAACAAAAATAAAAAATAACGAGATCCCCCATGGTCGTAGTAGGTGATGGGCTCCAGATATCAGAATGTATGAGAGCAAAAAATGCATGGGAAACAAAAGTACT